ATTAATAAAATGTTTTTGTTAGGAAGATCATGTTAAAACATTTTGAAAATATACTTGAAAGATTCATAGGCATAATAGATGCAGATTAATATAAAACTGCGATCACATGAAGAAATCATAAAAGATATTATAATGACTGTAAAAACAATTGTAATCTTATAAATAAAAATTAGTTGTGAAATTCATGAAAGTATATTATCTAAAGAAATTCTAATAGCTAAATAAACAATGATAATAATATAAACATACCACACATAATGTAAATAAAGGGGATGAAATTCACATATATAACATTTTGAAAATAGAATCCAATTCATATTTTAAGGATTAAATTTATATTTAAAAAAAGTAAAAGAACTTTGAAATCTTAATTCAATTAAAGATGAAAAGATTTAAATTTAAAAATTCTTAGAAATTAACATTACCTTACTTTTATTATTTTACTACATTATATTAGCTAAGTTTTTTTAATACTTTGGTTTTAAATTATTATTATTAATTAACCTAATAAACATATTGTTAAATTGAACTTTATAAAGTATATATAGAAAAAATAGTGTGATAAACAGTTAAAAAAAAATATATAATAATAAAATTTATAATTTATTTTCTCTATACCCTGCCTACTTTAATTTTATTTTAATATATTACTTTTCGGAAGTAAGATGTTATTGTTTTTTTTTGCAACTGGGTTTCAAGTCCATTTGTTACATTATATGGAATATCACAATTTAAGGATACCCAATTATTATTATCTCTTTTGATGGCTACCTTTGTAAATTTCATATCAGCTGGCTTTACATGAGGATGTTTATGTTTATAATGTTCATGTATCTTGTCACTTCTTATTTTAGAAGTTTTACCATTAATATAATCACATTTCACTTTAAATAAGGTTCTGTTACTTGGCATCTAGAATGAAATAATTAATTATTTTTTACATATTATGTTTTTTATTATTCTTTGCTTGTTGGTATATGTTTTTTAAGCATGACTAAAAAAATTACCTCCAAAATTTATCCTGCTAAAAAAAAATCTATAAATTTTTTAAAAAACATAATTATATTAACCTCTAAGATAAGTACCAAATAGGAAATGTATAAATATTAACTTGATAAAATGGTAAATGAAAATGGTTCACAAAGAAAGTTTATATTATTTATTAATTGAAAAATATCTTTACTTTCATTGACATTTGTCAGAAAATCAACGATAACCATCATAATCATATCAATTTATTGTTTTAAAAAGATTATAATTCAAATCCCCAAAAATCAATACCTACCCCCAAAAAATTAATGCCTATCCCCAAAAAATCAATATCAACCCCAAAAAATCAATACCTACCTCCAAAAATGCCAAAATATTTTGGAGGCATTTGTCTCCTACCCTCCCCGGCCATGTAGAAGCTGTATATGGGAAGGTATTGCAAATAATTCGACATTAATCTGTAAAGGAGTTTGTACAAATCAAACACTCAAGATTCTGGAAATAATTCTAGAATCATTTTATCTTATAAACTCCAAAATATTATATTTTCTTACCAATCGTTATCTCTTCTCTTGGACATATGTCAAGCAGGACTTTAAATTTTTAAAAAATATAGGCTGAAAAATAATATCCCTTACATCGGAACCTAAGGAATATTATTTTTGAAAACAAAATGTACAAATTCAAATAAGATTATTCATGTTTAGTGGGAACTTGTAGTCCCACCTCCGTTAGGTTGTTTTTTTTAAATATACTTTTTTAAAGAATTATTTGTGTATATTTTATATTTATATAGTATATATTATTTTATAATAATGTAAATAAATTAGAATTATATATTTAAAGAAAAATTATATAAATTCATTGGATTTATATTGAATATTGTTAATTGTATTAAATTTAATATTTTGAGTGTTTAATTTAAACTTTTATTTTTCTCATTTTCTCTCCTATATTCCAAATAATTTTCTCATATTTCCCCAAGATTTTTTCTCGGGGAATTTACACCCTACATAATTCCAAGCAAAATTTACAAAATTTTTTAAAATTATTTCAAGGAGCTATCTAAAATTTTCAGGAGATTTGAAACTGTGCCCCCCCCCCCACAACGATGCTATAAAAAAAGAGTTTATTTGCTGACGTATGGCTGGATTGTTAGTCCCCTTTTTAAATTTTGAGGAGGGGCTGCAAAATCTTTAATATTTACTTGGAAGTGTAAAAATTTTAATCCATTTTTCTTTATTATTTTTATAAAATCGGTGACACATGAAAGATGTGGTATTTTATATTGATGATCTACTAATAACGGGAAGTAGTGACGAAGTTCATTTCAACAACATAAAGAAGGTTTTTGAAAGAATACTATCTCATGGCTTAGTGCCTAATTTTGCAAAAAGCTTATTTTTCAAAAAAAGTCTAAGGTTCTTAGGACACGACATCGACGCCAATGGGATCCACGCCAAATGCCGGAACCAAAATCAGCCACGGAATTGTCAACGTTTCTAGGTATGGCCGGTTACTACAGAAAATTTTTGAACAACTTCGCTGAAATACCTGATCCTTTATACAGGATTGTCAACAAAGAAAAATGGGAGTGGAATTTAGAACACTCGAAAAGTTTTGATGATCAAAAGACATTGATTAGTCTTCCTCCAGCTTTGACGTTCTTTAATCCTGATTTACCTATTGGAATTGCAATGGATGCATCTAAAAGTGGTTTGGGAGCTGTTTTGTTTCACACTGAAAAAGATGGCAAAGAAAAACCGATAGCTTTTGCAAAATTATAAAGTCAAAAGGAGGATTTTTTTAATTGTATTTTTATATAGTTAGATGGCGCCTTTATAGGATTGAGATAGAGAAGCAAATGGTTTTATTTTGGGAAATTATTATTTACATTCTATATTTTATTATAAACTAAAATAAAAATTTTGATTTCTCTCATTTGACAATGGATATTAGGTAAAAAAAACCATAAATATAAAAGGTAAAAAAAAAAAAATTTTTTGGAAATATTAATCTTATTAAATTTAAAAAATAAAATAAGCAAGTAAATAAGGTACTAGTTAGAGAAAAAAGATTCAATAACTATCGACAGTGATGATAGTTTTATAGCATTTATTTCTTTATTTTAGTGGCGCCAACTTCACGGGAGTGGCGGAGCTTTCAGGGCTTAGAAATATTCTATAAAATATATATAATATTATTAATATTTTAAATATCAAATTTTTTTTATAAATATTTTCAACCCCTATATAAATTTTTATTAGTCACCTTGTTCTATTTAAAGTTTAGGCTCAGTTCACCATCAGCAAGTAGTGGTGATAAGTGGCTCCATTTTCAGCAGGTTTTGAGCCAACTCTAAAAAATCTAACCCAAATTTATAAGCCAGGACTATCATTTTAGCCTCTATCGAGGTTTAAACCTAAAGGATAGCTCAACACTCATAAGAAAAATCAACACATGTAAAGCTTAGCAAATTTTTTCGACTGTTAGAATTGAGCCGATTTAACAAAACTACAGGCAAGAAATAATCCAATCTTAACAGAATCTTTTAAATGTTTAAATATAAATATTAAATTTATAAATATGTAGTTTTTTAGGATTAATAAATTTAAGGTCTCCTTTTGCCAATGTATCATTTTTTATTCTGATAATTAAGAAGATTATATCCTTAGGAATATGTTGAGTAATTAAAAATATTTTAGGATAATAGTAAGAGAAATATTTAAAAAATATTAAGTTTGAATATTTAATATTTACGAATAGTTTTAAATTTACAAATATTTGATTGAAAAATAAAGATGATAATTATTCGATTAATGATTTTTGTTTTAATTCTTGTATACGATTCTAATTTTTGACTCAAATAATTGTGTTCGTTAGAATCAAATGGCATGAATACATTTTGCTTAATTTTGTAACAAAATCGAACGAATTTAAAAGTAAATAATTTGTCTGTAATGTTCAAAAATATAAAAGAACCCTCGTATTGATAACGGAATGAATTCCAGATCCATAAATATATGAAAACGAGCCCAAAGAAAGCGGAGAAAAAATTTGGAAAATCTCTAAATTCATACTTTTAATATAGATATAGGTAGTATTAAAATAGTGACATTAAAAATAAAATATAAATAATTTATTCCTATTTGTAAAAAAAAATCGATTTTTATTATATTATGATATATTAAAAATTAGTCCCACTTCACGCCCAAATTTTTATGCAATACATGAGTAGCCTTATCTCATTTTAAAATATTGCCAATATCCATTGCCTACAGCGTACATGATAGGATTTTCACTGGATGCAAACCCACCAAAAACATATGCTTACTCTCCCTAAAATATTTTCGTCGCCTTTGGTGGCGATGTTTTCCATTATTAAATATCTTAAATAAAAAATTAAATTTGTAGGCAAAATTCTCCTAAAAATAACTTAAATATGAGGAATTAATAATTCCTATATTTTACCACAAAAAAAATTAAATTTGTAGGCAAATTCTCCTAAAAATAAGTTAAATATTTTACCACAAAAAAAATTAAATTTGTAGGCAAAATTATTCTAAAAATAACTAAATATTTTACCACAAAAAAATTAAATTTATATGCAAAATTCTCCTAAATATAACTTAAATATGCGGAATTAATAATTTTACCACAAAAAAAATTAAATTTGTAGGCAAAATTCTCGTAATAACTTGAATATTTTACCACAAAAAAATTAAATTTATAGGCAAAATTCTCCTAATTCCTATATTTTACCACAAAAAAATTAAATTTGTAGGCAAAATTCTCCTAAAAATTTCAAATTCTCCTAAAAATTTCTTCACAAAAAAATTAAATTTTTAGGCAAAAATAAAAAATTGATAAAAAAAATATCATAAAAAAAAACATAAAAAAATAACAAAAAAATAATAAAATAAAATAAAAATAATATACCCCCGAGAATGGCAGTAACCATTAACTTATTTACCCCCATTTGGGAGCAAACAGCCTAAAATTTTCTATTTACCCCCAAATGGGGGCACGCAGCCTAAAATATAATTTTCTATTTACAGCCTCCTTTGTTAAAAATATCGATTAAATTATGGGTTTTCATGAATCAGTAAATACCTTATATTATTGTTTTAGAATTTAATTATATCATACACTTTATGTGACTCAGGATCTTATACAGCTAAATTATCATGCTATATTTAAAACCTTTAATATTAATTAACCATTGTTTTTTAGATATAATTTTAAAAAATTAAATTTTTAAAATAATTTTTATAACATTTTAATTTTAAAACAAATATTACATTAATATTAACCACACAATCTTTGGAATTAAAAATTAATATTTTTTGGAGGCGTTTTTAATCCTTGCAAAAGATCTAAAATAAGAGATATTTAATATCAACTAAAATGTTTCAACAACTATTAAAAATTTTGGATGACCCAAATGATGAAGTTCTTATTAATAATAATCTCATAAATGATAATAATGGTGGAAATAGAGTCAAAAAATTTGAAAAGGTTCAACAATTCTTAGACAATTTTGTTAATAATCATTCGACTGATACATTTATATTCCCTGAACTTAGACAAAGCTCTGACAGTGATAAAGAAAGAGTATTTTCATTTTTGTTTGAAGTTCTTAAAGAAGAAAAAATGGCTGAATTACAAATATTAAATGAAGAAAATGCAGAAATAAACAATGATAATTTAAAAAATCACCTAGGATTTTGGTCATTTTTTAGTCATGGAAATAAATTTAGAAAATCAAGTTCTTATAATATTGATTATGATGAATCATACCATCAAGATCCAGAATTTTTTGTTAATTTAACAGCTCTCAAACTAACTTGCCTTAAAACATTGAGATTGTTAAGCAGGGACAAAGAACTTTATGCTGATAAGAGTATGGATAAAATTATAAATGGGGAAAATTTAATGATTTTGGTTAAATTAATGAAGACAGATCCTACTCCACTTGAAAATATTATAAATGAAGATGTTTATGAAAGCAATGAAAAGAATTATACCTACAATGGTTTAATTTTTTTTATAATTTAAATAAATTAAGATTTTTTTGAATAGTAGTTCATGCTGTAGATTACATGATTAATATAAATCTTAAACTATAGATAGACCTGTGTGGTGTGCATGACACCTAAGACTTTTGTGGTAATTCTATTATGTCCAGGTATGTAAGTCCTCCCCCCCCCCCCAAAGCTAAAAGATTCAGATTCTGGCTATAATATTTTTCAAAATATTACTGTTTTATTATTTATATTAGTGATCTGCATCGGGCCTAATTTTTCAAGCCTGGCATAGCCCGAAATTTTTTTATAAAGTTTTGCCAGGCCTGGCCCGAATTTATTTAAATGTAGAAATTAATTCTTATAATTACTCAAAATAAACGATATGTTATATGGCATCTATTTTCTATAAATAAAATCACATATTTTTATTTTAAATAAAAAATTCAACATATAATGGAGAAATTTAGATATTTTTTAAAAAAAATTTAAGGCCCCATCCAGCCCGGCCTGAATTTTATTAAAAAATATTTGGCCCAACTCGAAAGCCGTTCGGGCCGGGCCTACTTTTGCAGATCTCTTATTTATATTTTATAATAATTATTATCTCTTATCACATATATATTCTAATTTACATTTATTTATCACATTTACAGAAAATATAAATAAAATTACTCATTTAGGCTTACCAGGCATCCTCTTTTAAGAAAGCATGTCCTTGATAAAAATATGTCTAATATCTATTTTTTTTTTAATTTGTCCTTTTTATTAAAAATAAAAAATGGGAATTTTTTCCATAAGTAAAGCAATGTTTTAAGCAATATTAAAAATGGACAAATAATCCTTAGGTGCAATGCAAAATAATTTATTAAATGTATATAGATGTTGCATGGAATATTTTGATCTTTGGTCAGAATTCCTAGAAGAGAATATTAAAATTAAAAATGCTCCAAAGTGGTATGATTTAGAAAAGTTTATTTATTTTTGCTATACTGGAATGCTAATGTTGAAAGCATCTTCTTTAATCGAGAGTAAATGAAAAAATGAGAGGAATAGATTATTTGTGGACTCTATAAGAGAAATTATATGCATGCAACATAATTTTAAATTAATCGTTTTTAATAAAAATTTTAGAGAAAATGCCAAATATATAATGAAAAATATTTGGCAATGAAAATATGAAAATAATATGATTTATAAGTTTATATATTTTGTTGGATTTTAATTATTTAATGTTATTGCTATATAAATGCAATAAAAATAAATGCTTGCTTAAAAATCAATTATTTTTTTAAATTTATTTAGTTGCCCAATTTAACATAAAAAAATAGGTCCTTTTTTCCACTAAAAAGAATCTGTCAACCCTAGCTAATTTATTCTATGAATTAATATCGATTTCAAATTTTCATTAACATTATAATTATCTACTATAATAAATTAGTATTTATTATATTATTTATAAAAAAAACATCCCTAAATTGAATAAAAATTATTATTTGACTTTTGAATAAAAACTTAGAATGAATATATGAAAATACATATTGATTATTATGTTAGTCCATCATGATTTTTTTAGATTTTTAATGAAGACTAAGATAAAAAATAAAATTTATATTTAACCTTAAATGTCGGTAATTTAACCTTAAATAGTTGTGATATAACCTTAAATAATTTAGCAGATAAAGAAAACTTGTGGACTTATTCACTATTAAATTTGATAAATTAGATGTAGAGAGTTTAATATCTTATTATTCTACTTGAGTTTTTGTTTAAAAAATGTAAGTCCAACTAAATCTCAATATAAAGATATCTTTTTAGAATTTTTTGGCAGGATATTAAATTAGTTGATCGTGGATGCTATCCAGATTCTATTGAAACTTTGTCTTTTAAGGAAATTAAGTCAATATGTTTTAAAATATTTAAACCGACTTCGACGATTTTTGCGTCTAGATTGACTTTGTTAGACTTCGAAGAACAACGGAGACTATAACTGAATTTGGGGAAAAAATTATGGTAATTGATAAGCGTTGTTAATATCTTAAATGGAAATGTTAGAATTGGAGAGATCTTCGGGCTCTATATCTCCACAATTTTGATAGAGGTAATAATGCATTGACTTTCCAATTTAATCTTGATCTGGCAACTGCTTCTGAACGGGCAGGCAAAGGAATAGCCAATAAAAATATGTCGGTTGTCAATAATATAAATAATAATAACAAAAAAAAGAATGACACTAATAATAATAATTATAAATATCCATTTTAAAACGAATACATTTAATAAAGGCGATGTTATATTAAAGCCAAATACAATAATTCATTAGATAAAGGGTATGATATAATAAAGCCAAATACAAAAATTCGTTTGATAAAGGCTATGCTATAATATATCCAAATGCAATAATACGTTGGATAAATGGTATGCTATAATAAAGCCAAATACATTAATACGTTGGATAAAGGGTATAATAAAGCCAACTATTATAATACTTTTGATAAATATAATAAAGTAAAATATTATAAATGTGGGTTTAGTCGTAGCCGAGAAGAAAGATATCCAGCCACAAATGTGATATGCAACAAATGTAAAAAAATTGGCCATTTTGCAGTTTATAAATCATAGAATTATATAAGTGTCATCAAGTCATTCTATTCATAATATATGAAAAATTTAGGAAAATCGACAGAATCAAGCAAAATAACTGCAGAGATTAATAGTTAGATATTAAGTTTGATTTTGACACTGGTGCGCCGGTGTCATTGATCAGAGTTGATATATGGACAAGTATTGGACGACCAAAAATTAAGCCAACCTGTCCATTGACCGTATATGGTGACCAAACGTTAAATTTTAAGGGTGTGACCCAGGTTAACGTTAAGATTGGATCACGGAAAAGGTCCCTAACTGTGATGTGTTAATAATGAACACTAATGGGGTACATCTTTTCGCACTCCATAGAGTAGCGTTCAATTTAAGAATTCCCCAAAAAGTTAAGATAAAACAAGTGCAAAATTCCATTAAGGATGTTCCGTTGGACCAATCTAAAACATCGAATCACGCTATAACAAAGGAAAATTTTGCGTAACATTGGAATCGAGAATTGGTTAGTGAACATCAGGCAATTCTCTAGATAAGATGGGACATTTACGTAATTTTGTGATGTGAATTAATTTAAAGGATACAGCTGTACCAAGATCGTTTCCAGCCTGCAGGGTTCTTCCGCGTCGCAAAGCAATTGAAATGGAAGTAGACCGATTAGTGGTTGCTGGAATTATCGAAAAGATTGATTCGACTAAAGGGTACAGCGGTCAACGCCAACCGTAAATGTGCGCAAGAGTTATGGCGATATTTGAACTTGCGCTGATTTCAAAGTTCTGCTTAATCCGTGTTTATTATATGTCCATCATATTATTCCTACCTTAAACGATTTGTTAGAGAAAATCCAAGGTGGTGATCAATTTATCGTGATAGATATGAATGATGCATACCTACAGATCAAAGTAGATTTGGAGTATCAGGAACTTCTAACGATAGAGACTCAGGGGGTATTTTCGTTTTCGGATATCTTTTGGATTGGCAAGTGCACCTACTATATTCCAGAGATTTATGGATGTTGTTAAAAGATTGTCAAATGACCGGTACATATTTAGATGACCTAATTATTTCTGGTTGATACGATGAGGAGCACATAAAAAATTTGCGATTCGTGTTAGATAGAACAAAAATCTGTATCATTTTTAGGGGTGATTATTGATAAATCCGGTATACGTCTTAATCCAGGAAAGATGAAGGATATCCGGAATCCACCAAAACCTAATTACAACAATTTAGATCTTTTCTGTGTCTCGTGAATTAATATGAATGTGTTATTGGAAATCTGTATAGTAAAGCTGCACTATTACAGATTAACGAGTGTGTAAGTACATTGGCGATGGACGAAAGAGGACCAAGATTCCTTTGAAGGGGTTAGAAAAATATTATTATTTGACTTTTGGATACAAACTTAAAATGAATATATGATAATATCTATATTGATTGCTGTAATTTATCATAGTTTTATATAGTTTTTTTAAGATTTCGCCAATAGATGTCCAAACCTTTGAGGCATTTATGAGCAAAATCGTCAGGTTTGCGTAATATTTTTCTGAATATAATATTGAATAACACTGCTGCAAGATTTAACAAGGGCAAAAATCTTTGAATATCAACAAAATTGAAGATTTTTTAAAAGAAGATTAAAAAAATTTCTGATTTCATCATAAAAGATTTTTTACAAAATAAATTTGAAATTTTAGATAAAAATTTGATCAAAAATCAAAAATATCTTCTTTTAAAAAAATCTTCCAAAATCAAAATCTTTTCTTTTTGAGCAAATGCTAAACTCTACACTACTGAGAAATACTTTAATATTTGGCACCAAGCACTTATAAAATCATTGAAAAATTTGCTCAATTCCAAAGAGGATTAAATTTCTTATAAATTTAAAATGTGCTTCTTAATTATATATTTTCCCCATTTTTTAATACACCATATATTTTTCCATAAATACTTTGTAAGTTTATATGCGTGCAATAATTCTTATGAATATTTTTGTGCACTATTCTATAATTCTAACATTTTTTTAAGTATAATCTAGATACAAAAAGACTTTTTTGGAGACATTTATTTTATAACTAGCTAATTAATCCGTCAAAAATGACGGGGTTGAGAGGTAATTAGTTTGTGTATATGGTACTAAATATGCTTTATATTAAAATTTAGGAGAAAAAGAGGTAAAATTGTTGCAATGTAACTCGTGGCATTAAGGGTATTAGAAATATCAAAATTTAAATTTGTGATAGGAATCATATTGGGTAAAATTAAAAATAGAGATTCTTCAATATTTTTGAATTTTAAATATGGGCTAGACATTGGCCTCAAAATTTTGTTTTGCAGACACAGCTAGGCCTGATCAAAAAACCACGTCCCATGCAACTTTACAAAATTTTGCCATTTATTTCTATTGTAATTT